AGAGCTGATGTGTGGGCAGATGAGATGAGTGGGTCCACATGAAATCTGTACAACAAAAGCTCAGCAGAATTCAAATAGCCATTATCGACCAAATACTACAATCTCCTGGCCTCTTCAGGGCCGGGTATCGCCTACTACCTCACATTCAGTGAGCGTCTAGGCATGAACCTACAGGATGATACTCACGTTTGCTATCACCATTGGGGCTCTCAGGCCATGATAGAGTCATGGGTGCTGTGTGTGTGAACTCATCAACTGAGAGCAAAAACACGAGATCAAACATGAGAGACAAACACATACACACGATTCAGCTAATAAAACACACTGTTGATGAACATGAACATGACCACAAAAAAACAACCATGTCATCTATAAATTACGGATGTGAATTGTAAGGTTGTTTGGTTTTGATTCTGATTCTATTATTTTGCTTTCATCAACCTCTTTATGTTTTCACAAAGCTTCTAGTTTAAAGTCTGATTCATATTTTGCATCATGTGACTGAAATATAAATAGTCCAAACAGGTAAAAGTAATAAAATATTTCCATGATAAACATTAGCACCTACTTTTTCCATTTACAGTGTGGTTGACTTGGATATCTGAAAGGAATATGAATGAATATGTAAGAACACATGATGGTGGTGAAATATGTGAGCAACACACAATAAAAGCCATTCATGAAGCTCTAGTTTCTTAAAAAAAACAAAGAACGACGAGCCAGAAGGAAAAAAAAAATAAAAAATGAAACAAGCAATGAAACCCCAAAATAGCCTGTATAGCATATGTTCATTATTGCAGCAAATGACATTTTTGATTTTGATTTTTCATGACCAGTCAATGGCTGGTAAATAAAGAAAATTATTTTTATTTTGTTCATATAATTTTTTTGCTAGTAAGCACTGTACTTGCCTTATTTTATTAATAAATATACTGTACGAAAATGCTCAGATCACATAAAAACTAGGAATTTTATATTATGCAATCATAGAAAATAGGATCTTGAAACAACTAAAAGTTATGTTCAAATACAAAAAGAAACATTAAAGATTCTGCATATGTTCTGACTCCATGGTTAGATTGAAGCACACAAGTTGAGATGTTTTCTTGTTGATACCTGTGCTTTTGACTGATGAGGTGTGGGTAAGTCCATTGTGCTGCGTGGTTTCGACGGTCTCCAAACTGGACACGATCAACTTTGGCTTGAACTCTTTTTTGGGCCGACTGCTTGCAGTGGATATCCTGCAAGAGCAAAATATATGTGCATAAACTCAGTGCATATATTAGCAAGACACCTGCATTTGTTATTGTTGACACTTTTATAACATATCTTCCAATGAAGACAGATCAACAGTAGGCTAGATAACGAAATACATGGGATCTGATTTGCAGTATGTGTAGCTGAAGATACCTGGTCTGTAGTTTGCTGTCGAGCTCCTTCAGGATCTCCAAGGACTGTCGATGGTAATCCAGCGCTGCCTCAATCAGAGCTGATAACTGACTCACCTGCTCCACCTACAGGTAAATGAAAGACATGATGTTTTCACTGACCCAGAACAGAAACC